CCCCCGGGCCAGCTTTCCCCCAGTTTATGTACTGAGCACGACGTCACATGGTATGGAATGTCCCTTTGGCCAGTTTGGCTGTGCCCCCTCCCAGCTTCTTGTGCACCTCCAGCCTTCTCAGTCGGTAGAGCATGGGAAACTAAAAAGTCCTTGGCCAGTGTAAGCATTACCTAGCAACAACTAAAACATCAGTGTCTTATCAACTTTGTTCCCATCCTAAATCCAAAACACAGCACTGTACCAGCTACTAGGAAGGAAATTAACTCTAGCCCTGCCGAAACCAGGACACTGTGTCAGGGAACACTTTTGGTGTTTAGTGCGTGTTTTTTCATATGTATAGAAACTTTGTGGAGGAAAAGCTTGGCTCAAGGTATGTGGAAAGCACAAGGATGGACTTAGCAAAATCCTGTGAAGACAGCAGTCCAGCCACTCCTGTGTTTTTCATTCTGTCTCCAGGAGAAGACTCACTTGAAGATACTGAGACACTAGGTAAGCCTCTTATTTGTTTCTGGTGCAAGGATCACTCAACTGTGCTCCCACTAAAGAAAGAAAAATTGAGCTCGAAAATGAAATGGAGCATGCAGGGCTATAAATGTAGATAAATCAATAGATGGTTATACGCTTGTGTGTATGTGCCTGTACACATGTACATGTATGAGTGTATTTTTACTACACAGAACAAAGCCTTCTGGAATCATCTGTCACTACAATGGAGTATACATTACTATGGGAAAGTTGGGCAAGGTTTTCAGCAGAAGATTCAAGTTCTAAAGTTTCTTCCACCCCCACCATATTCATGGTAAATGGGGTGGATGAAAAGCATAAGGCCATAAGCACTACAGTATGAAGAAATTTTTAGACCGAGCATTCCTCTGCTTGGCATAATGCAGGTTTCCTTTGTACTGTTTTCTACCTTTTGACTAGATGAGGGCCAGAGGGCAATTTTCTCCATGCTCATGTAATCTTGTGCCCCCTGTGACTAAATAATGGTCATTATACAAACGATATTCAATTGTATAGGGCTCTGTGGCTTTATACTTAGGATTACTATTCCCCACAGACAATAGTGACAATACCAGGTTAATACAGCTGTGACCTCACGGTGCTCAATTTAAACTCAGGCCTCACAAGGTGAGAGGCTTGTGCATTTACCCACTGAACCAATCAGTTAAAAAACTGATGTGATATCTACCACATGTTGCTCCCTTTTTCATAAGGGAATTGCTCTGTACCCCCTGTAAGAGTTTCTAAAGCTCAGTAACAATGCCGAGCATCTATCAAAATGTCAAAAGGTTCATTATCTTAAAACCAAGGGAACAGATTTCTACGGGCTTTTTCTAATACCAGCAATAAGGCCACTGTTGAGAGCTCGCAATTTTGCTTGTTGAAATTGTAAGGGTTTAGTGAAGTGCTTCAGAAGAAGTAATATGCATTGCACAAGTGATAGTGAAATTAATGGGAGCATTATCATTCTTTTTCCTTCCTGCTCTGCTAATTTTCCTATCTCCTCCCTCCCTGTCACTCACCTTTCCCCAGTTATTTCTTTTACAGGCAAAGTCTTGGCTTCACTAGAGACTCTGGAAGATTTCACAACATCTCTTTAGGACAAGAGCAGGAGATGGTTGCAGAGGAGGCACTTGAGAAGGCTGCCAGACATGGCCATTGGGTTCTTCTCCGTGTGAGTGTCAAGCAGCCCCTCTGGTGGGGACTGTCTCCTCAGTTGGAGGGATATTCCCAGACTACAAACAAAATATGTGGTAGATTATAGCAAAAGTTTTAAACAGCTAATAATCTTGTTCCTTTTTGCTTTTGATTGTAACAGGATAAACATCATATTAATAGAGTGTATGTCATGTCTTTCTGAACACTGTCCTCACCCTCCCAGGAGGAACAGGAGAGATAAAACGGAAAGCCTGTGGTGGGTAGGTAGGACTGCCCTCAGGCATACACTTCCCCCGCGTAATTAAGAGCTCCTGTTCTGTTCAGTGGGCCATAATGGAGACTTTAATAAAACAGGTCCGACTCCCCCTTGGGAAGCTGTATCATTAGCCCTGCAGTGCTGCTCTTCCAAGATAGCAGCCGCAGCTTTAGCCAGCGTTGTATGGACCGAGAACCCACTCTGGAGTGGACAAAAGGATCTGTGCAATACCCTGGCGAGCTGGGGTTCCCAGTGCAATGATGGAGCGGGCAGGAGCACCACAATTGTTAATGCTACCGAAAGAAGGTGCTTCCCTCATTTTATGCTAAATAGCCAATGGATATTTGTAACAATCCCTTTGCCCTGAAGCCAAACAAGACATGCATGTTCAAGGCCTTGATATTAAGGAGGTCATGGGGACCAGATGATTCCCTCCTCTTCTGGTTTTAACCTCAGCAACATACACATTTGGCTGTCAACGAGGTTGCCTGCAACAAATGAAGAGATGGGCTAGACTCAGTGTTGTCTGCCAGCTGAAATAAAATCACCGTGGGATTAGTGAGGGAGCTTGGTGTGCTAGGCACTGGGCAAACACGCACAAACTGACCCCTTCTTTGACACTGAAACTGGAAGAATTCTTTAACCAGGTTTTGCACGAGTAAGCTAGTTGCACTAGTCTGAAAATAACCCTGCTTTTCTGCTATTGAGTATAGAAATGTTGTGAAGGAAAGAGCAGAGTTGGTTTTCAGGGGAATTTTGGTGTTCTGAGTTGCTCTGAGGACAGGGCAAGAAAATGGGAGATGGCAGAGGCCCTAAATCAGCAGTGTTGTGTGTCTGAAGCCACAGGGATAAATGGGGAACATCTGAGAGGCTTCTGGTGTTACAGACCTGCTCCATTTTCCAGCCCGTTATGCCTGGCTTCTGAGGAAGGAAGGAGGTGACAATTTTGCTGTGACGATTTTTGGTAGTGAAGGGTTGGGGAAAGTCTGAAAGGAGACTAAATAAAGATCTTTTTACCAAATCTGAAATGATGCTAAGCCAGCTAGAGCTAGTGGGATTTGGATGTACTCAGTGCTTCTCAAGCTTCAGTCTTCTGGGGTTTGGCCCAAATACCTATATGTTTATGTTTAAAAAAAAATGCTGGAGCAAAAAGATGAAGTATTTTACTATGCATTTTGTTGGAGGCTAGGGAGTGTATAATTAGATATTTTAAAAACTCTGCTATTCCAACTAACCTGGGAAATACTTAAGAAATTGCCTTGGCTTCAGACCTATGCCCTTGAAGCAGGGAGGAAATTTTTTACTGACCTCAGCAAGAGATAGGTCAAGTTCTTAGTGCAAAACTCCTGCTGGAGGTGAAGCTGAGGGAAGTCCAGAAGGTGACAGAACAAGAGGTAGGGACAAGTATGTTGTGGAGTAAACAATGCAAGGTCTGAAAAACGGTAGCGAAACAAATTGGCACAGCATTTGGTAAACTGGCAGAAGAAAGACTGACTTGAAATTTTTTGGTTACAGGTTTAACTCGTGTCACTCTTACATTAGTGTCTCAGACTCAGACATCTGATGTATCGAAAGGTTATTTTTGTTATTAAATTAAGGCTTGAATCACTTCCACTCTGCAGTGGATGGATGTAGCCTGTATGAAAATACCAGGCTGCTATCAGGTAATGTGACATGAAAGTCATATCTCTTTCCTTGTGATATGAAAGTCACACCTCTCTTTCCACCCCCCTATGCCTTTCTCCACATGTCAAGGGACAATTTGGGAATATCCCCTCAGCAGGTGTCATGACAAGGTGATGCAGCAGCCAGAGCGTGACTGACATGTCATATTCCTTGGCTGGTGTATGGAGTTGCAATGCCTCTTGCGCTACGTGGAGGTGGAAGCCAGTGCAATCAGCAGTTTCTGGCACAGCAGTGAAGAGCCAGAGAGAAGCTGTAGGGCTGAGCTGCAATTTGAGATGAAATGCTAGCTCTGCAAAAAAAAGTGGAGTGTGGGCTAATGGAGGGGTGAAAGCAGCTGCAATCCAACTACATTGTAAATATCTTGATATTCCCATATTTCACCAGTAGGTGCTTTGGAGGCTGATACTGTTCCATTATAACTAACTTCTCTGGTCTATCAATGACTTTCCACTGTCTTCATATATTAAGAATCTTAAAGACAATTGGGCTCTGAAGTGGTATGAAACATAATTTTTAAGTAGTAGGATAGCTGTAAACATTTTTCTTTATCTAGCACTTCTTCAGTCTTGCTCCTGGTATGCATTGGACATGGTTTGTCTCAGGTCCCAGTTCTACAGGGAATTTAAGTAGAGTCCAAGTGCTCTGCTGAGTTATGCTTATCTTCACACAGGATAACACCCAGTCCCCCAGATCACTTAACCCTAAGTTTATAATATTTTTGTTAGCTTCAGAATCAAGGCCTGAAACTTTAGAAGCTAACTGTGAAACCTCTGTTATTGCAACAGATATCAAAAAATGGCACAGTAGCTAAGAATCTTCACGTTTATTCTCTGTATTATCAACTTATTTAACAACAAAGTGATGCTTTGAATTAAGTAACTTAGCTATTTTTTATTATAAAACCACAATAACAATGTCTTAAGGATAACAAATTTATTTGTTTTCTCACAATAATCATATTAGCTGTTTTACAACAGAATATTCATCTAGTAGCCAAGGGGCTACGAACTTTGGAAAAACTCCTCAAGCAATACAGTGAAGAAAGTCATCCTGATTTCCGTGTCTTTATTAGTGCTGAACCAGCTCCAACCCCAGAAGAGCACATCATTCCTCAAGGAATGCTAGAAAACTCGATTAAAATTACCAGTGAACTTCTTACAGGGATGCTGGCTAATTTACGTGCTGTACTCTACAGTTTTGACCAGGTAAAAGCAAGATGTACTTTTTTTTCATTAATTTGTTTTAATTACTACTTCCCCCATGGGGAGAAGTGATAACGCTGATGACTGCTTTGTGGGAGAGCAGAACTTTGGGATCTTTGTGCTTCCAAACTAATCTGTCAGCTGGAGGATGCCAGCCCTCCCTGCCCTGTGCTGCCTCCGTGTTTCCCATCCATGCTGGGCAGGAGGAAACACGTGACAATAATGTATACACTTGTATTATTAAATATCTAGATATAGGCTTGCATAGGTATGCTTACAAAGATAGAAAGAAGTGCATTTATCACACCAGCTTTACCCATCTGTGCAGTCTTATGAAAAAAACTGTCCATGCTCTAAAGTCAGAGCTCTTTCATTCGATGGTACTCACTAATTTTCCTCAGCTCTAAATTTGGTTTGACCATGTCCATTCTCCTACAGAGCGGATTTATGTACCCAGATGTTCAGGCAATGGCTCAGTACCCTGTGTACGAATTTCTGTAGTTAGGCGTAAAGAAAGGAATTCATGAGCAAGGGTTACACGCCGTTTGTTGTTTTGTCTTTCGCTCTTTCCTGCATGAAGTTCTGCGGAGCTGCTTGGTCGGTGGGAAGAAGAAGTAGGAGAAAGACGGCATGAGAATGTGGAGGACAGGGGTGTCACTGGACATGCATAGTCTCCTTCCCTCCGGATCCCTGGTTATCCTGGTCTGTTACCCTGAGGAGCTTGTAGACAGATCTTCAAGCTCGGTGCAAGTCAACTTCCCCACGGCTGTGAAAGCGCTGGAGCAGCAAGCTTATTCGTGTCAGCAAAGCAGACCATGACAAAGGCAACCGTAACTGTACACTTTAGCCTTCCAGCAATGTATTAGCATCTATTTATTTATCTGAGCACAGGACACATGAAGGCAGAGCTTGCATGTGAAAAGGGTAAGAATTTCTTTTAAAGGGAACTGTGCTAACCAGTGCCTAGAAAAAAAGAGCCGTGTACTAAAAGAGATGTGTCAAAGCTACCTTGGCTACAAATAGATTGCTTTTGATGGTGTAAGATGATTTGGAAAGATACTTGCGAGAAAGGAAGAATGGCTGTAGTTTTGTAGCTAAACAGACAACTACTAATGCAGCAATTTTGTCTTTTTTTAGAATGTATTATAATAATATTTTTAATGGAAAGCTCAAAAAGCTAGACAAAGTTTTTAATAAAGGCAATTCGTATGCATTGTTGTCCCACTTCAGGCTGTGTTCAGCTCAAGAAATACATATATATATGTATGTATGTATGCTAATTAGCTAATTTCTAAGCTTGATGCTTTAGAAAACTCTCTTTTCTCCCCCATTATTTTGAGCCATGTGTGTTTGCAGCTTACTACAAATTCCTGTGCAGACACCGTCTTTAATATGTTTCTGGTTAAGGTATTTTAATATTTTTTGGGGAAAAAAAATTGTAATAAGAAAATCAAACTATGTCTAATCCAGGTGGAATAAATTTCATGTTTTGTGGTTTTCTTCGGGATAGAAGCTTGTGTTGTATTTTCCATGGTTAAACTCAGGATTCTGACTTAAGGAGGGTTTTTTTGTCAGACATAAAATCCTTCACCTTTGCTCAGGCTTTGCTACCTGTTGTTCAGTTCAGGATAACCTATTTCCTTTTGACAGCCAAGAGTTTATCCCTCTGAAGTTCCTCCCACACATCTATGTTTTTATGGGTATCAAAAGTAATTTTGTTATGTCAATTACTTCTTAAACTAAAAGATAGAATATAGAAAACTGTCAGAGAACTAAGAATGAATTTCTGCAGGATTTATAGGAAAATGCCAAATAGCTTGTCTCAGAAATTTAAAAACCAGCTGAAGCCCTGCACAGAATCTCATCTTGCCGAGATTATCTATTAACACTATAAACAAAGGAGGCAAAAAAAAAAAAAAATTAACCTCCAATTTCAAACATGACTCTTTGGGAAACAGTGTAAAATTTGAAGGAATAGTAAGCTTCTTAATAAATGTTAAACTGGCAAATTTTCTACTTGGGATAATGTCTATGGATGATTTATGCTAAGAAACTATAGCGGTTATCTGAGTAATATTTATAGAGTTCTATTTAAAGTCTCGATTTTTATTGGTTTCGGTAGCACAACAGTTCTCTTTCCTAAGGGACATTTGGAAGTAGAAAGGTAACCATCAACACTTTTGCTTCTGGGAATTACTGCAACAAATACTGCCTAATAGTCACTCATCACTACGAAACCTGTTTCTCGCTCTCCTTCAAACTTCAGGCTTGTGAGTGCTCCCTTTCGGCAGCTGAGGCAGGCACAGCCATCGATAACACTGCCGGTTGTTAACTGGATAAATGTATTCCTTTTTTCTTTGACAGGATACCCTTGAACTGTGTACCAGAGAAGCGGAATTTAAAGGCATCCTTTTTTCTCTGTGCTATTTTCACGCTTGCCTTGCTGGGAGACTGAAGTTTGGCCCTCAGGGCTGGAATGGAAGGTACCCGTTCAGTGCTAGAGATCTCGCCGTCTGCGTAACTGTCCTCTGCAACTGTTTAGAGACCCATACGAAGGTAAGAAGTAGCAGTCAGGTAACCACACACCGAGGTCATTTCAACTCAATCAGCTGTTTATGCTGAATAAGGGGGACACAGTTCTTTCTCTGAAGCTGTTATTTAAGTATCTGGCATTATACGATGCTGTTGCCGAGTATGAAAATAAACCAGATCAAAGGGGGGTGGGGTTCTGGCAGTGGATGCTTGATATTTGTAATATAGATCAAACCAGTTCCACATCAGTAGCTAAGGGGGAAAAAAATGCCCTTCATTATGTTAACAAAAACAGTGGTTTACATGTGCATATATGCCAAATTCATTAGGCAGGTAATGAAGCATTTGCACAAATGTAATTACATACAGCAATTCTGACAGTTCATAACACTGCATTAATAATCACTACAATTAGTTCTGATGATGGAAGCAATTTACAGCACGTCACATGTATAAATAATGGTGCATTTCCTGCATGTGTCATTATTATGTATTAAGGATGCCACCTTGTTGTGACTTTCTCAGTAATGTTCCCCTTGAGTCAAAGTTAAGGGTAGATGAGTGATTTTTATTTCTGAGCTACAGCATATTTCACACTTGTATGGTTTAAATACTCAGTTGAGGTCGTTTGTGTAAGTTCTGTATATGAAATGCCTAAATAAAAGCAATAATTATTTATTACTGAATGATATAGGATAGTACTGAATAGGTCTTCCCATTTCAGTAATTTAAAGAAATTTAAGAGATATTTATAAAGAAAAAAAGAGAAGGAAATGTCACCCCTTGATGATGTGGTTTTTCTCCATGTCTCCCAACTTGTGTTTACTCTCAGAAATTAATTTTCCTGTTTTCTTTTTACCCCTACTGACCTTTATTTAGCTAATAGGACATGAAACTGTTTTTCCTTTCTGTGGTACTTGGTGTCATAGTGAAATAATTGCTTAATTTTACAGTGATGATTTAATAATGCTTCCTCTTTAGAAAACAAGTCTATAATATCAGCTTATTCCAACCCTTAGTTTTCTTTGCTAATAGATCTTGCTGCTTTAAGCTGTGTTCTTTTCAAACCACAATTCATAAGCTGGATAATTAATTTTGCTAATTAATGAGAGGGAGGATTCTGACGGCACGGAGGACTAGAAAGGTCTGTAAGAGCGAGAATTATTTCTCCTCTCCTCTTGGTAATATTGCTTATTGTCCCTTCTCATTGTATTTGTTAGCAATTCATACCCTGTAGCTTTAAAAGCATTTTTTTAACATAGATATTTGAGAGAGAAAAGAGAGAACAGTTTTTAAAAATGTGACTTTGTATGTGTATATACATGTATATGACTCTGTGTGTGTGTATATATATATATATAAAATCTCCCAATAGAGTACCCTTTGGGGACAACTTTGTTTAAGACAATTAGGGATTGACCAGAAAGCATAAACTGGGAAACTTGAGCTAGCCCATCAGCTAGTGGAAATTGCCCTAACTCCATCGTCACTTGTACCAGTTTATGGTGCTTCCCTGTGAATATTTAATCTTCTTGTATCTCAGTTTGACTTAACCCCTTTTCCTGTTGCTAAAACAAACTCCACCACACTAACCTCTGACAGATAAGGTCTCCTCAGGTAAAGTTAAGGAT